GATCAAAGCAGCCTACCAACCTTGAACAGTTATGGTCTCTTTTTGAAACAGTGCTGTGTTCTTGATTCATGTTTCTTTGAAGGCGGCGAGGAGCGTTTTTCAGAAGCTGCTCACTTTGATCAAGCGTAGAAATGTTTGACATCAGTGCACTAAAGAAGGCAACAGGTGAGGCTCTGCTTCCCTCTGATGGTGCACACGTTCACCTGGTGGCCTGCTTGCTATAATTAAATGCAAAGTCAAATTAGTGGATGAAGGAAAGACATTTAGTTTAAATCAAGTCAGCACACCTTGCCAGCGGGCTGAATGTATCAGTATGTAATTACGTTGTGGGACTTCCCGGTTTATCTCGACACAGGGAAAGGGTGATACTAAATTAACTACAAAATAATGCATGATTTAGCTTTCAGGAAAGCCTTCACAGTTCTGGCTTGAGTTTTCTTAGGGTGATAATATGTAGAAAAAACATCCAACTGCCACTTCACTATAATCACTAAGAAAAGGACACACGCATCCTTCAAGAGGAGGGTTCTTCAAGGACCGTGTCCTGCGGTTGAAAAAAGTGAAAAGGGGACATTTCAAACCCTTGAAGAAACAAAGGTCAGCGCTGGGGCCGAGAGGGAGAAAGAAATTCCAAAGATGCTTTGCAGAGCACAAGCTCGGGCTTGTCATTTGCTGATGGACGAAAAAACGCTCCCTCCCACGGACGCTCAGTCACACTTGTGTGTGAGATGGTCACGCAACAAAGCTCCCCCCTTGAAAAAAAAAAGCACTTGCGCGGCTTTGGAGCGCCGAACCCTTCTGCCCTCCTCCCTCGCCGCTCTCCCTCCCCTGATGCACGATCAAAGTTTGTTTACGGTTGAGGGGTAACTTCGCAGCTTACATCTAAAACTCCCACACGGCACACTGTTCCATTATATAACCTCTATCAAAGCTGCGCTCGCTAGTGCCCACAGCTGTTGGTTGTGTAAAACACTAAAAGTGCGATTACCAAATCAGAGGCTGGGCTTTATTCATCCGCAGTATCGCGTTCAACTCGTCCTCTGCCACGACGCAATGAAATACAGTCTAAAACAAGGATCTGCTCCACTCGCTCGCGTGTGACGGGGTGAGTGTGTGTGAGCGTCTCTGGCCGTCGGGGCATGGCAGCAGAGCAGAGTGCTCGGCAGCAGGCCTCTAATTGTTAGCAGGTTATTCCTCATGGACCAATCAGGGTGACGGACCTCGTCCCTCCCTTGTCCGCGGACCCGGAGGCCCTTATTTCCGGTGGAGGCAAAGAAAGGCATCGAGAAACGCGGTGGCTTCTCTCTCCGTCAGAAGGCGCTCTGGATGTCACACATCTGTAAAATCTGACAAGCTACACGGGAATTGAGTCAAACGCCTCATGCTCTGTCTTTCTTCACTCTCTTTCTCTCTCTCAATAAGCTCGACGGGATGATGAGCAGTCTCTCTGTGTGGAACGTTCGGGCATAACTCGCTGGCGGTTAGACGCGGCGGCGCGAGAGCTGAAGGCCCAGTGTTCAGGTCTCACACTCCCTCCATTGATGAGCGACACTTCAGTCCTGACAGAGGCCAAGGGGTCATATTTGGTCATGGAAGTCGATACAGGGTGCTATTGAGCACGCAGACACTCAAGAGTGGACACAGACCTTTTATTCAACTAGTTGAGACAGGGAATGGGAACACGGCAGCAGCTTGTACACCATAATACAACATTGTGTACACACTGAGCTCATATGTCATGAAGGATATATTCTGCTAAATATTTGGATGCAGTAATATGCTTTCTTTGAAGCAGTAGATAAAGTGTTTAGGAGTAAACTTAAAATCTTAAGCTTAACACAGTCACGGCAACAACACTTTACCTAAAGTGTGAAAAACACCTGAAAATAGACCTGATGGGTAAAAATACTTCTTTATGGGCTCCAGAACTTATCACGACTGGCTGGCGTTTGACCTCATTGAGCTCATTACACAAAACTAGCAAACAGCAAATCCTTTGAGGGGAACCAGCTGAGGTGGGTCTCCTCTCATCCGTTACCCCATCAATGGCGGTCCGTACAGTGCACCTCGGTTCCAACTGACTCTCCGGTAATGTGTTTCTGCACATCATTCAATTCCTGGCTCTTGCTACAGTAGCAATGTGGAGGCTGTCCGGGGGAACTGGTTGTGTTTTATGGAACTTTATCGATCAAAGAACAGGCTGCTTCAGCGTGAGAAGATATTATCCACGGGGTCACTTCTTACCTCCAAATGTATGATTAGTGGTATTTTTGTGGGAACATTTACTCAACAAATGCTACTCCACCATCAGTGCAAAGTTTTTCTAAATATCACATAGAAAAACAATTGATTGCATAATCCCTAATGTTGTTTGGATGACGGCCTTTGTTGATCCTATATCAGTCAGTCTGTGTGTGTGTGTGTGGATAATGAGAGATTACTATAAGCAGCATAAGTATAAGTAGATGGCCGTGGTGTCGTTTTAAGTGACATCCACTTGCCCTTCACTCATCTCTCACACACACACACACACACACACACACACACACACACACACACACACACACACACACATAGACACGCACTACTAATCTACTAATGATGAAAACAAAAGGCCAACCACATACATCGAGAACTACAACTAGAATATGATTCGAAGGCAAATATCACTAACAACACACCGTGGTCCTTGAGTAAAATAGATTTCTGATTCTATATGCATGGCTCACACTATCCCTCTTGGGTCGCTCCTACCCTTTAAAATCCTTGAGTGAAAGAACAAGTCCTCGATGTCGGCTAGAAAATAGCAGCCTCTCATTTCTTGAGTGCTCTGATACCGCCGACTAATTGTCACTGGCAGTTTTGAGCAGCTCTTGCGGTCTACTAGTGTGGACGATGATACATCTTTACCAACTAGCATGTTTACTTGTTTCGAGAGAGTTTACATAAGTCTATAGCATTTGGGAGGGAAGGACACACATCCTTTCCATATCATCTATATGCCCGACTCCACCAGCCAAATATCCTGCTGGATAAACAATGGTTACAAAGAAGGTGCCACGCAGACTTATTTCCTCAATAACCTCGTTGGAATTTGTGAGCAAGCAAACAGCGGACTGGCTGATATATTTCACCTTATTGTGAGACCGGTTTGAGTCGCTTGATTGCTTTCTGTTCAACTTGTTAAGAATTAAAGCCTTTACAATGTTTGCCAAGCGCTGCTATCAGTGAAACATGTTCAACATAGAGCCCAAGTTCAGAGTGAAGAATGTGAAGGGAGAGAACGATGTGAGGAAACCAACTCACATTCCGTACATTTCTCACCAGGTAATTATTAATGTGCCTTTTGGAGCACGGACGTAGTTGATAGGACAGCGGCCTGTTTCTCTGCTACGGGAAGCGTTTTGAGTTACTTAAAAAAAAAACAGAATGTCAGTTATCCAAAGCGCGGTTCCCACGAGAGCCAAACTGGTAACATCAGACATTTAATGACTGATAATTCTACCACGTAATCAGAGCGAGGGAGCCGTCCTGTGGTAACCTGAGCCGATAAAGACAAAAAGACTCGAGAGCTGGCTTCTTATTAAATTCATTAGAGCGAGGAGGATGGTGGGAGAGGTGAGCAGAGGCTCTTTATCTTTTCTCTCTGTGGCTCCTTTGTTTCCTGGAGCGGTTCATGTAGGAGTCAGCGCAGCGCTGTGATCACAGAGATAGAATTCGAGTGGTTCCCACATCGACCCACACCTCGACCGACTCCACCCGGCAAGCGGCGGCGAGCGAGCCTGCGTCCGTGCAAACACCCTCAGCGTTGGACCACACGCTCAGCACCAACGAGGGAAAAATTGATTGGGATTCAGATCAATATACAGATCCGGGATGGGCTTTAAATGTTAATTAAATCACATTTAAACCTAAATAAGCTGCAAAAAGATTAAAAGGGTTTTACTGAAGCACGATTTGTTTTTGATCTCATCTGCACTGTAGGACCAGAGGAGGAACGCAGCAGCCTGCGGTTCAGGTAATAAACACGGATGCCGATGCGCCCTGATGCCAAAGATCAGTCATTTTTTTTCCAACTGGGGAGTTTCTCTGTAAATAAACGGAGTGTTTGTTCCGTGTTCATACCGAGAAGCAGCACAGTGGAAACTACTGAAAATCAGCTTGTTCAGCCGGCACAGGTCGCGTCTTTACTGGTAACAATGCTGGCAAAGCCACAAGAAAAACACCAGTTAAACGTTGCCGAGTGGAAAATGGTACCTTGTGCCGCTGTGACATTTTGCCTCCAGCTACACAATTCAATAATAACAATACAAGCCAGTCCCAGGGAAACACTGTTACCGCGCTTGGGTACAACATCGGGACACCAATAGTCCTCGGGGGGAATTCCGTGAACACAAATAGACCATCAAACCAGAGAAAATCAACTTCATGACCATGAGTTTTATTTTTAGGAAATGATGCCGCACAGCTCAGCGAAGCAGATAATCCTATACGGTGTATTGTTCTTTAAGCACCATGTGGCTCCATTTGGGGACATTCAATAATCCAAAGTGAATTAGGGTATTGGTTCTGTGCGGCTGGAAGGGAATAAGGAGGGTGAGGCTGCTGCTCAGTGTGACGTCATTCGCCCGGGAGAAAAGGTCTTCCTATGAAGTTAGCTAATTAGAGTTCAATCCCGTGGGACAGATAATCAACAAATCAGGCAAATTTCCTCTCCTCTCTGCAGCTCACGCTGTTCTTTAAACAATGCAGCTATAATTCACACTGCTTTATCCTGTGGGCATGTAAATCAAGTAAAACCTTCCCAGCAGCAAGCTCAGTAATGTATAAAATATGCCAAAACAGGTTAGCCGAGTTTTTGTTTTGACCTGAAGCCTATGAAGTATGATACAGTATAATTATAGAGTTTAGGTACTTTCGGTATCATAAGACTGACTCTTCTAAGGAAATAAAAATCCAAAATAAAAAGATAAGACAAAGAAGGAAAAAAAGTCACTTACTTACCTGTTTGTCCGACTTAAACTTCAATTCTCTGCTTCCAATCCCATGCGCACTATTCTGTCTCTCTTTTTGTCTCATGCCCGCGATACTGGATCTCACGCCACGATCACAACTTCCTGTTTCTCCGTCGGAGGTGGCAGTTGGGAGGTGGCACATGGGAGGAAGCTGTCCGGTCCTAACGGCTCACCTGCAGGCCACGAAGAGATGACTTTACAGTGCTCTCGAGCTGAGTGTGACTATGGTTTTATTAAAGAGAGCAGGGTGGAAATAGATTTGTATCATATACGAAACAGGGAGAAATCCTTAGGTCGACCTCTGCAGCAGCTATAACAATCAGATACTTCCACACCTTCATCTCCTTTCCTCCTCTTCCCCTCCTCACCTGCTCATCTCCTGTTGCTCTTTAAGCCCTCTCAGGGGCCGTTGTGGTTGGACTTGTTCTGCCAGTTTCACAAACAAAAGCCCCGCATGTGAACCAGCACTAAGGCGGTCCATCCGGAGCTGACACACGAGAGCCAGCGTCACTGGACAAATACCAACCACACGATCCGTCTCGTTTGCTCACGGATATCATGTCAATAATGAGGCATCAGACTCAGGTAGAGACAAACAGCGGGAGCCGCGAGAAAGATGGATGAGAGGTGGATAAATTGAGTGAGGGCAGACGAGGCGGGAATGGAAAATGAGAGAATGTGGGGGTTTTCTCAGCGTATACCGTCCGGACAACAGTCAGAGTCGCCTTTCCTGAGGCTGGGATACTGGACGTGTTCTGCGACGTGTCAGGTTACATAACTCAAACTGGAGCTGCTTGCATCCGAGCGTCGGGGGGGAAAAAGAGAGGACCTTGTTCTCTGCTCCAAAACCAGGAGAGAGGAGACTCCTTTCTTGTTCGTGTAGGCTGCGGAGGGCGGGGGGGGGTGAAGGAGTTATGGGGACTACTTAAAGCTTGCACCAATAGGTGGGCACACGGGAATCCCAGCTAATAAAGCCCCATGTGAACCAGAGATGCACAACGTGGAGATTGGCACGATATTAGAGGCATTCCAGACGGGCAAGAATGTGACGCTTTGTGGGGCCCTGCCAACGTGCAACTTGAAGAAAATAAGCCGAAAAATGAGAGGAGGCGGATGACCCCATCAAAAGCCAGCCCGGTTCAACACTGGAGCAGGTGTCGCTACGGTACCCCTGTCATTACCTTTGCGCGCCGCAGGCACCGTCAGTCTGAGAGTCCACAGGTTTGCAGAAGTCTCTCGGCTGGCCCGAAGGCCGTGGTGGCGGGGGTGGCGGTGGTGGCGATGGTGGCGATGGTGGCGCGTGCATGTGTGTGTGAATTGATGGGGAAAAGGGCTCCAGCGGGAGGGAGAACAGGGCGATGAGAGAGCAGGAATGTGGAGGTGCATGGATGGAAACGTGAGGCGGAGAACAAACAGAGAGGGACAAGTCGGGGCGTGCTTACAGATGCCGTACCTGTCGGACCAGTCGAGGAGATGAGACAACAGCCCAAGCTAGACTCATTTCCTCCGCTTAAGCCCTTCTGGACAATAAGATGACAGGAAGAGGCTACGGGAGGCACGCTCGCACGTCTGGCTCTCCAGAAACAACAACGCGTCATTCACAACAAGACATTTTAAAAGGCTGTCAGTGAGGGTTTAGGAGAAGACAGCGGGAACATCTAATTTGCACATAAACGGATCTCACATAAACAAAAAGTAGTCAAAGGAGTAGTTTGACATTTTGGTAAATTTGACTGCCCGTTTGACCCGAGTGAGACATGCGCAGGTCACGACGAGTAAATGTAACCTTTAAACCCCCCGTATAGATTTCTTGTAAAAGAACAGGACGTGACAGCAAACTGAAAAGCGAGAGAGAGAGAGAACTACTTGCGCATGGCGATATAAATAAACAACAATGCCCACTTGCAGAGGAGGGCTTCGACTCGTGGCCTTTTCTTTGGCAACGCTACAACTCTTCAGACTACGTAAAAAGAGACAAGGGCCGAGTGCTCCGCATGCGCACGATCCCTCCCGACACACGCGGCCTAGCTATTACTGCCGCTGATATCTATAGAGGGCAGATGAGTGCATGCGCTCCTCAGCGAGAGATGAGGCGAATCAATAAACAGGCGAGGGAACGATAAGGCTGCTGCTGACTCACAAACAGGCTTCACCCGTGAGCAAGGCATCAGGCCCAGAACGCGACGCTGCCAGAGTTAGCGGTTATTTCCGTCTGAGTTGGTGACATTTAGGGAACAAAAAACCTCCCTCCACCCTCCTCCACTCTCAGACCTCTCTCCCTCTGAAGGTCACGGGGTCCCGCCTGTCTCATGAGGATAAAACTATTGTTCAGCAGTCAGGTGACCGCTCAACCAAACACGGCGTCCGGAATAACCCGGGAAATACTGGCCACGGTGCACTATCCTCACCGGACATCCCAGTTTGTCGGCAAAGTAAAACTCCCACGTTGGCCGAGACGCCTGCATGCTGTCACATACGCGTTTGTGGTGTTTGCATTCCCACGTGTTATTTTCCGATCGTATGTAGATATGGTTTTCCTGCCGTAACGTGCCTCATCTACTGCTTCTTAAGACAACGGCACGTATAGGATCAATTAGGACTCTCCTTTTGTCTCTGGTTTGGTCTTTTCCAGCCCCTGAGAGACAGAAATGCTTCACTATGTCAATAGTTTTTAGCTCTTTTTACCGTTGGGAATATAAGAAAACACCTGTCACTCAGGACTAATGATTAACTTGGGTGTGTTCACTTGGAAAATAATTCAAGCCTGCGAGGTCTGCAACTTGACCCCGGCCCAAGTCAGTTTAAAACAAAAAATCAATGTTTTACTGAGGCTCACGCAAAGGCCGAGGACAACCGCATGTTTGACCGGTTAGTTCATGTGGTGAAACCAATCATCCCATAGGAGCTGCTTTTCCAGGCACTCACTTACACAGATGAGCACTTTCTTTTTGGTTTTTCTACCCGTCCATGCCATGCAAACTCTTATTGTTTGCTGTGTTAGCTTTTAGCTGAACCGCCTTGTATCCAACAGTGGCCGTGCACGCCAGGTCGAGCCGCGCTGTGATTTTCTTAACCCGGTCAAGCTTTAATCGCAGCGACAGACGGCACAGAGAGAGGATCAGGCCAGCCTCGGGCGGAGGGATGACCGAGGAGGGAAAGCTGTAAGAGTACGAGCACGGAACTTTCTCTTCTATAATAATCAGTCTTCTATCTTCTTCTTTCTATCAAGAGTCCATGACCTGGGAGCAGAACAGGGTAATATGATGAGCCCAAGATTAGCAGCAAACAGAGAGAAAATGGGAAGAACAGGCAGGATAATCTGAGGAAACAGAGTTGTAGAGTAGAGAAAAGAAGTAGGGCTGATTAGTGTGTTATTAGCTGGCTGGCCTCGGGGGGGAATCTCTACCAACACAGTCCCATTATGACTGAGCTCTGCTCGCAACACCATCTGTTAAACTGGAGCACGCATGACTGAGCCGCTGTGCTCCTACACGCTACACAACATGAAAAGGCCTAACAGTGGATTGTGCTGGAGGTAACTCGGGTGATGTTGGATCCTTTGTAGTTGGTCGCACCTTTATTCACGCTTTACAGCTGGACTAACATCACGCTGTTTGAATATGGAAGCGTGGAGTCAAACTGATGGAGAGGAGTCAGGTCAGAAGAAGCAAATGGTCAGCAGACATCTGAGCGATCAGCAGAATTAGTGTTTCATCAGCTGCCAGTTTTTTAAGAACACACACACACACACACTAGTGTCAACCCCCTGGGAGCTAAAACAGCTGAACGAAGACATCTCATCAGCTGTCTGGCTGCTTCTGCAGAGAGAAGAGCAGCCAGGAGACGGACTGCGCCAATAGATTGTGGGCAGAAATCACCCAATAAGCTTTTGGCTAGCAGAGGGGTTTTGCGGTTTTGATCAAATCTGGAATCATGATGTTTTGGTGGCAATAATGTGGTAATAACGAGTGTGCCCTGTTAGAAATGGTTTTGTTTCTGAAAGTCTTTAACATGATGATCACAAGTTATCAAAGCTTAAAGGTAATTGCTTATGTAAAGGGACAGGCAGGCCAAAACTACCAAAGTATTTATTTTCAAGTGACAATGAAATGTGTTTTCCACCAGTCAAATCTTGATTCCTTTGGCAGCACAGATTCAATTCCACTCATCTGGTTGGTGGCCAATTATTTAAATGCTTAAACTACCTGTGTCGATAGCTAAAACAGGTAAAAATGAATTGTTTAGACGTTTGTGTCAACCAACCTTTTATAAACAGTCTTCTTGAAGCCTCGCCTCACAAAATTTTAGCCAACCCTGCAGTATTTGATTTGTTGTGGTCTGCTTTCGCAGTTGACGCTATCGGTGAGCTGATTGCAAAATCTCATCACTCAGTCGGCTCCGTGTCAGAGAGAAGTGGGTCTGATGCCAAAATGCATTTTTGTGCGGTGACTGGAACCCTTAAACAACATCTGTCATACACTTCACACTAGTGGAGACAGCGTTCTATCACGCCGCCTCTTATAATCCATTCCTAAATTACAGGAACGATAACTACGCATTCTCCAACAACACCTCACGTATTGTCTCTCTTTTGTCAGACTTGCGTCGGCACAAACGCCCACAGCCACCACACTCAAAGGGCTCTTCCTGCAACGCTCCATAAGTAGTCAGGTCAGAGGTCACCTGTGGCCTCTGGTCTCCACGACAACAGCCTGGCAGTCCCCAAGAAGGAGCTCGTGTCTACCCCTCCACCCGCACACACACACACACGCACGCACGCACACACACACACACACACACACACACACACACACACACACACACACACACACACACAGCAATCGCTTTTGTCCCCAAACTCCTGTGCATCAAAAGAGACTCTGGAGTGTTGAGCTTCCACCCAAACATTTACAGCCATGCAGGCCAAACCCATTTCAATGCTCTGCAGTGGAGACCACCATAGCTGCAAAATGGGGGGAAATTAAAAAAAGAAAACTACATTGTTCATCCATCAGTATCCATCTCCTTCACTCTCTCGCATGCACACTAGCAGTTGCCAGGTCAACGGTGAAAACGCTTTGTAAGGATTGACCCTAATTTACAGACTACAGCTCTTTGATCCATTTCATTCATTACTTCACAGACTTCCAAGCCACACATTCAAGCATCTCTCTTCTTTTTTTTCCTCCAGGTCCAGGTCTACACAAAGTTTTTAAAAAAAAATGCCGTCATCATGAATCAATACCGGCACGGATTCTCGGGTGTGAGCGGATCACGAAAACGATTCACTCACCATGTTCCGCACGCAGGACATCTCTCTCTCCCTCGGACCGGCGCAGGGGCTCTGCTGCGGTTTGTGTGATGAAACAAACAGCGTTCACAGGTATTTTTCCCTGAACTTGGTGCCGGAAAAAGCAGATGAATAAGTTCAGCGTGCTGTGCAGCTCGAGCAGAGAGAGAGAGAGACAGAGAGGGACAGAGAGAGGCAGCAGCGCACTGGAGGGACGTTTCTTTTCCCTCTCGGAGGTTTGAACAGAGTGCGAGGAGACAACGAGAGGCAGGGACACATGTGTCCAACCCCCCTCCACACAGTGAAGTGAAGGGGGGCGGCAGGTGAAGGCGGACAGCGACCTCTAGCGGTCGGTCCTGTAGGAGTAAAAACACACATGCGAGGAGCCGGGCCCCTACAAAGTACGCTGCCACTTCACTAGTTAATTTGCTGGTAATTTGGTTAATTTCAATACCTCAATTCAATCTTATGTGTGTTTTTTCCCCCTGTATAGTTGTTGTTGTGTTGATTAGGTGAATGTGTTGCTCAAGTTGGAAGCAGAAAGTCTCCCTAGACTCTGGACACAGATTTGATTTTGGGCCACTTTTCATCCCTCAGCCTGTCGTTTTAATGTTCGTTTTAATGTTGACTTGTGACGATCTCATTTGAACGGTGGATGTTATTTTAGGCAACATAAGACCTGCACTATCCGTATCTGCTTTGATGCTTCACTTATTTTAAGTCATTTTAACATTGTGATGCTGGGACCTTTTGGGGAACTGTTTTGTGATGACTTCCATCCATCCATTGTCAAACCGCTTATCCTGCACACAGGGTCGCGGGGGGGCTGGAGTCCATCCCAGCCAACTTCGGGCGATAGACGAGGTACATCCTGGATTGGTCGCCAGCCAATCGCAGGGCTACACAGAGACACACAACCATCCACACTCACACATCTACGGGCAATTTAAAGTCCCCAATTAACCTGATCCCCAGAGCATGTCTTTGGACTGTGGGAGGAAGCCGGAGAACCCTGAGAGAACCCACGCAGACACGGGGAGAACATGCAGACTCCACACAGAAAGGCCACTGGGCGGAATCGAACCCAGGACCTTCTTGCTGTGAGGCAACAGTGCTAATCACCACGCCACCGTGCCGCCCTTTTGTGATGACTTCCCAAATTAAAAAATAACTATTTTGTTTAACAACAACAAAAAAAGCTTTTGCCTACTATACTATTTTGGAAACTCCTAAAAAAAGTTACATGAAAACAAATTGAGACACACACATGTTTCGGGCCAATTGTGATATCTATTTATCAGTATTATTACAGAGGTAATATCTGAGTAAATAATGGAGCTGTCCTGTTTAGATCTAAACACTGTATTTAATTATCATTTTGGTAACCGGAGGCTGGAGGTCAACAGGGACCAAACATTAGGTGGTCAACAGACTAATGCACCTATTTACAGTATCCTCCTCAGGGTGAATGGGATTGTCATTTCTGTAACGCTGCAGCAATGTATTTTATTCAACAAATAGTGAAAAATGTAAACCACAATATCCAAGAACGTCATTCAATTTATTCCGTCCAACCAAGTAAAATAAAGATATTTAAATCACAAAACAATGTACTCTGGATCTAGAAAGGAATTGGAGTTGGTTAATTATTTAATAAAATAATGATGATCATATAATTATTGTGAGTTAATGTAAATTATCATCATAATTATGAATCAATCAATTAAAATCAAAATAACGCAAAATTGATAAATGACACATAAAACATAATTTTTACAGAAACCATATCACCCTCAAAGAAAAATAAACCGTTTACCTCATGATTATAATGTTTTCATCACTCCTTTTCATTTCCAGGCCCTTGTGTTTAGCCTGGTTATGCATGATAAGAAAAGTAGAAAAAAAAGACACAGCGACACGTGTTTCTTTTTTCACTAGTCACGACAAAAGGAGAAGATGATATTTTGTTGTACCTTTATATTTATGTAAGTATGTAATTAGAATACTGTTTAATCCCACGACCAAGCAAAATGCTTCCTCTCATCTCCAACTTTGTTGGTTTACGGTTTCCTGGGTTTGGCTTTGACCACTTTCACACTGGTGGACACTGCTTTGGCGCCTTGCAGGTTCATGGCGGTGCAGGTGTATGCTCCTTGGTCCACGTCCCTCACCTCGTCCACCAGGAGGACGGACTGAGACTGCTGTCGAGCCGCTCCTCCGCCGGTTGGGGTGACGCTCTCCTGTGTGTACAGAGGCCTCCCAATCTGAAACCAGAGCAAGTGCCCCGTTAAGACCAGGTGAAAACACATTACAGCATGGCAGAGATGTGACCACCTTTCAAAATGATGGTCTGAGGTGCATTTGTTCCTCAGGAACGCTGCCCGAACCTGGTGTCTGGCTTGGCATCACGTTTGCATCAGGTCAAGTATTAAAGAATCTCTTCATGAAGGGGGTAAATACTTTGAGACTGCAGTAGTGATTAAAAGTCGCATTTTGTGTTGAAACAGGGAAACCATTTGTAGCATTAGCTGTTTTGAGCTATTTCATTGTTTTTTGTTCATTGTTCATTGGCAACAGTAGCTGTATTGTCCCTCTCGCCCGGGGTGCCTGACCTCCTGTCCCGGGTATTCCCAGGTGAACTCCACGACCACGTCCTGTTCCCCCACCACGGAGCAGCTGACACGCAGATTCTCCCCCACAACCAGCGAGTTTGAGGATGCTTGGATCACTGGAGCAGGAGGAGCCATGGGGTCTAATGGAAATTAGATAACCAAAAAATCATTTAACATCCACATCCATGAGTCAGCACAGTAAAAAACACCGTAGGTTTTCAGCCGGTTTCTTAAGAGTTTGCATTTTCTTACTGTTTGTCCCGTTATCTCAAGGAAAGACTTATGTATAATGCACTCTGTATAACTGCATAAAAAACATAGCAATGATATAACCAGAGTGACAATTTGCTACCGAAATTGGGCGGTTTCAATGCAGAAATGCTGAAACGACAAAGTTACACCTATTCAAAATACGAGTAGTGAAAACTATCAGTTGAAATTAAAGAGTTCATTCTGGTCAAGCACTGAAAGAAGATGATGTGAAAATTCAACAATTTAAATTGAACAATTCATTTGGAGTAAATTCTGTATGAATATAGTAGATGAAGAAGCTATTAGTCAAAATAAGAATTCCTGATAAACATAGTGGCAGGACTCACAGTTGACATAGATGAGCATGTACGTGGTGGAGCTCTGCCTCAGGTTGCCCAGACTGGCGACACAGAACAAGGGTCCAGCGTGATGAGGCCGGGGTCGGTGGATGGTGAAGCCCCTCTTGACGTTAAAGGAGATCTCCGTCCCGTCCACTGCCACCTCCATGGGGGGAAACTCGCGGTGCAGAGTCACTTTGGCCTCAGGTGACGTCACCTGGCAGGGGAGGAGCGTCGGCCAGTTGGTCCTCAGGTGGATGGCCTTGTAGTAGTCAGACGACGGGACGAATAATTCTTGTGGATCTGATTGTCACAGCGAGAACAAATGGTCGGACGATAAGATAACACGGCAATGTGAAAAAGCTTCCTGTTAACCTGAAAGAGAAAATGAAGTGGACGCCTTCAGTTCAGAGAAGTTTATTCGCCGTACCGGGAAAGAATACGAAGACTTTGACAGCTTTGTTGTACTCCTTCCTGCAGTCTGTGTCCTCACAGTACATAGGAAAACAGGTGTACTCCCCTGTGTCTGCACCAGTTGTGTTGACTAATGTCAGGACGCCATATCGCTGGTGTTGAACAATCCTGCAGAGCCAAAACAGAAAGGTCAGAAAAGAAATGGACGTCATTCTGGCATTAGAAGACTAAATTGGCCCATCAGGCAGAATAAAGATTCATCGACTCGCCCGGCTTACCTGAGGCGGCCGTCGTCGTCGTCCTCCAGGTACCGTGGGACGCCCCACTGCACAGGTTTGCCCCTGCACCTCAGCTCCATGGTGTCTCCTGTCTGCACACTTATGGTTTCTCCCACCTTCTTAAACTTCCCTCTGTTTAGCACCTATATGTGTCACATACAATACCACTCAGATCCTTTTATGTGTTTTCATCAAGGTCCCATTGGACAAACAGAGTCATTGTGTCATATATGAGATACCTGTGTGAGGACAGTCTGGGCTGCGGCTGTGGCTTTGATTTTGGGTTTGGCTGTTACAGCTCTGGACTCTTTCTTTGTTGATTTCCCAAGTTTGGGTTTGATGGGCTTGGGCTTCCTTCCTGGTGTGTTCCTCTTTTCTTGTGTGTCTTTTTGACAATATGCTGTAACGTATACAGAGCAAATGATGCACCAACAGTTCATAAATAAAGATACAGGTCAATGTTTAATGATATGAAGTGACTTAATATCTTATAAATATACTTTGGTAATGGCATCATGGTGGGTCAATGTGTGTCTCCGTCGTGTTTTCTTTCCTTTTGTTGCATCAGGCCAACTTCTAGAGTAAGTCATGTCATGCATTCGGCCCTCCTTAGTGATTCCAGGAACACATGTTAACATCATTGCTGTGCAAGTGAATAAATCCACTTACCTAACTCAAAGATGAAGGCACAAATAAGGAGAGCGCTGAGCACCCACCGCCCCTTGGATCCCAAAAAGTTTCCCAAATACATGATTGATCAGTGGAATACAATCAAAGTGGTCTTTAGCTTTTTAGTTAGTGCAGTTCAACACAGAACAGGCTGCAGAAACCGGAGAAAAGAGGAGGAGGGTGGAGCTCGCAACGTGAGCTGCCAGACCCAAGGAAAGTCCTCCTCCTGAGAGTGGCATTAGTACCCCAAATTCCTCCTGATTGGCTCAATGGAGGCTTGCAAGCCTGTCCGGACCAATGAGGGTCCAGAGACAGAGGCCCTTCCATGTGAAATCACACCGCTTGTTTGCTTAGCTGCTGGACTGGAAGTGTGCTGTCGGCATGAGTCCGGCCCATCAAAACAACCCAGTCAAGGAATACTGTGGTACTATGGGGTTGAAAGCATTTGGTGCCTAATAAATCATTTTTCCAACATTTGCTGACGTCTTTAAATGATTGAAACAATCACAGGAGTTACCAGCATTGTCAGGGTTGGGGGTGGAAGGCAGGACTCAAACGCAGACTTTTCCAAAACAAAAGACTTTAATAGTCAAAAGGTCCAAAATCCAAAAGGCCAAGGGGCAAAAACACACAGGCATGAAACTACAGAGATCCAAGACGAAAGACTAGAACAAGCGTGGCAAAAGACAATGACGCGACAAGTGACACAGGAGACACACGGCTTAAATACACAAGGGAGGTGCAGGTGATTGGACACAGGTGGAAACTATTAGACAATCACAGGGGACAACGGGACAAGGCAGGAAGTGAAGTTACCTGGGGACACAAGTGGCAGAAAACTACAAAATATAACATGAAGTGAACCACACCGTGACAGTACCCCCCCCTTAAGGGCCGACTTCCAGGCGGCTCACACTAGAGCGAAACAAGGGGTGGGGGGGAGGGAAACCAGAGACAATGGTCGGGCCACCCAGCAAACTCTGGCGGGCGGCCCGGTGGGCGGCCAGGCGACCGGGGAGCCTCTGGGGGTCGGCCTGGCGGATAGGCACACTGCCGGGGAGCCTCCGGTGGTCGGCCCGGCGGACGGTCATTTGGCCGGCTCCGGAACGTCTCTGGCATGGCAGGCTCGGGGACACGGGAACCCTCCGGGGGGGTCGGCGGCGGCTCGAGTTCGGGGACACGGAACACGTCAGCAGTAGTCGGCGGCCGCTCCAGCTCGGGGACACGGAACACGTCAGCAGTAGTCGGCGGCCGCTCCAGCTCGGGGACACGGAACACGTCAGCAGTAGTCGGCGGCCGCTCCAGCTCGGGGACACGGAACACGTCCGCAGTAGTCGGCGGCGGCTCCAGCTCGGGGACACGGAACACGTCCGCAGTAGTCGGTGGCTCGGGGACACGGAACACCTCCGCAGTCGGCGGCTCAGCCCCCCCCATAACCCACCCCATAGCCCCCCCCTTAAGGGCCGGATCCCAGACGGCCCTCAAATTACCAACGGGAGGGCGGGAGGGAGGGAATCTGAGTCTCGGAGCGGGGACTGGGGGCGCCGGGGCCATGAGTCTCGGAGCGGGGACTGGGGGCGCCGGGGCCATGAGTCTCGGAGCGGGGACTGGGGGCGCCGGGGCCATGAGTCTCGGAGCGGGGACTGGGGGCGCCGGGGCCATGAGTCTCGGAGCGGGGACTGGGGGCGCCGGGGCCATGATTCTCGGAGCGGGGACTGGGGGCGCCGGGGCCATGAGTCTCGGAGCGGGGACTGGGGGCGCCGGGGCCATGAGTCTCGGAGCGGGGACTGGGGGCGCCGGGGCCATGAGTCTCGGAGCGGGGACTGGGGGCGCCGGGGCCATGAGTCTCGGAGCGGGGACTGGGGGCGCCGGGGCCATGAGTCTCGGAGCGGGGACTGGGGGCGCCGGGGCCATGATTCTCGGAGCGGGGACTGGGGGCGCCCGGGCCATGATTCTCGGAGCGGGGACTGGGGGCGCCGGGCCATGATTCTCGGAGCGGGGACTGGGGGCGTCGGGGCCATGATTCTCGGAGCCGGGACTGGGGGCGTCGGGGCCATGATTCTCGGAGCGGGGACTGGGGGCGTCGGGGCCATGATTCTCGGAGCGGGGACTGGGGGCGTCGGGGGCCATGATTCTCGGAGCGGGGGACTGGGGGCGTCGGGGCCATGATTCTCGGAGCGGGGACTGGGGGCCGTCGGGGCATGATTCTCGGAGCGGGGACTGGCCGAGTCGGGGTCAGGGCCGAGAGTCTCGGAGCGGGGACTGGCCGAGTCGGGGTCGGGGCCGAGAGTCTCGGAGCGGGGACTGGCCGAGTCGGGGTCGGGGCCGAGAGTCTCGGAGCGGGGACTGGCCGAGTCGGGGTCGGGGCCGAGAGTCTCGGAGCGGGGACTGGCCGAGTCGGGGTCGGAGCCGAGAGTCTCGGAGCGGGGACTGGCCGAGTCGGGGTCGGAGCCGAGAGTCTCGGAGCGGGGACTGGCCGAGTCGGGGTCGGAGCCGAGAGTCTCGGAGCGGGGACTGGCCGAGTCGGGGTCGGAGGACAGAGTCGGGGAACGGGAGAGCGCTGTGGCGGCCCAGCGGGAACGGGAGAGCGCTGCGGCGGCCCAGCGGGAACGGGAGAGCGCTGCGGCGGCCCAGCGGGAACGGGAGAGCGCTGCGGCGGCCCAGCGGAACGGGAGAGCGCTTCTTCCGCTTGCTCCTCCTTGGGTTAAGGAGGTCCCGGAGCTCGAGGCAGGCGAGCTGATAGCTCCTGGGACCAAAAACAAAATTCGTTTTCCGCTGCCAGAAGGGACTTCTTACGTCCAAGTAGTCCGGGCCGTAGTCTGGCAGCGGGTCTGCTGAGTCCCTTGGTCGCGTCATTCTGTCAGGGTTGGGGGTGGAAGGCAGGACTCAAACGCAGACTTTTCCAAAACAAAAGACTTTAATAGTCAAAAGGTCCAAAATCCAAAAGGCCAAGGGGCAAAAACACACAGGCATGAAACTACAGAGATCCAAGACGAAAGACTAGAACAAGCGTGGCAAAAGACAATGACGCGACAAGTGACACAGGAGACACACGGCTTAAATACACAAGGGAGGTGCAGGTGATTGGACACAGGTGGAAACTATTAGACAATCACAGGGGACAACGGGACAAGGCAGGAAGTGAAGTTACCTGGGGACACAAGTGGCAGAAAACTACAAAATATAACATGAAGTGAACCACACCGTGACACAGCATTAGAAAGCACATCATATGTAGTACTTCACGAACCTTTACATGGCAACAGTGATGTAACACTGAAGTAACGTTTTGTAGAGATTGTAGTTTGTAGTGAAATTTTCCTAAAAGGGACGTTAGATTACAGTGTAAGAATACACTTGATAGAATATCTGTACTACCAACTATGCTTGGTTCCATTACGTTTCTAAAGAGGACAATAAATCAAGGTATTGGAGTTTTGATTAAATCAATAGCATGTTGTAGTCAGTGAGAACATTGTAAAAGTTTTCATTTTTAATGACTAGGTGAGCCACAATCTTGAACATGACACAGGTAAGCTGCTGTGAAAGGTCCCTTTGTTCCCAGTGCACTCTGGGTAGTGAGCCGCCTCCACCTCTTTACCCAAGGTTACGAGTTGAACGGAATATCTTTTTTTGTTAATGAAGACGCCCTGCAGAAAATGACCTTCAGTTATAGTCCTTTTTAAAACTGCATTCTTTCTTTTTAATTGAGAAATACATTTACAATATATCATTGAAAAACATGTACATTTAGCATATTTACACTTAAAATTTGATGGAGTGGATCTTTAAACACACTAAAAACAGAAAACGACCATTCACAAGATTTTTGTACCTACACAGTACTTTTGTTAAGTGTAATTCTACATTTTGATGCATAAAAGACAATTTGTTTGTTATTCATAATCATAAATTAGAATTTTTAAAAATGTCAATAGATTTTTATATTTTACAATTTGATGGAGAGTGTTAACAAATTATTTTAAGCTTTTACCGCTTTCAAAAGAAGGGTAAAGTACTTGGTGGATTAAGGCTCCGGGACATCCTGGATTTGATACAGGAAGCATAAACGAGTCCAAAAAAATGTCAGGCATCATTTCAAAGGTGGCAGTGAAATCTTTAGATAAATGAAGACTTATAAAGTGGAGTAAAAGTGAACAAGTTGACTCATTCGCCTGCATCTCAACACCGACCACCTGTTGCACTCCAGGAACACATGGGCAGAGCTGCATGTTAAACAATCCTTAGTTAACAGTTACTGACTGTAACATCTCAACCCATTTCTCTCCAGTTGAGCTCAGAACCTTTCTTCTTTAAGCATATCCTTGTCCATTTTGTCACTGACGGTTTCGATATTTGCCTGTTGGGTCTTGAGGCGCTGCCTCTGCACACTGTGACTGACACCATAGGCAAAATAGATGAGCAACCCTGGTGAGTGAAAAGGGGAATCAGTACAGCTGAGCAGCGGACTTAAAAGATCTAAACCTTTCAAGCAGAAATAAGTTCTTACCCACTGCCATCCAGATAGCATATCGCATCCATGTTTGTGCACCTAACTGGACCATTAGGTAGACGTTAATGAATGTACTCACTACTGGCAGAGCAGGAAGTAAGGGCACCTGTGAATGGGGAAAAGAAAATGGGAAATGATTTACCCCGTTGTATGTATTTTAGAACTTGTCGGATACACAAGTAATCTTACCATGAAAGATGCCTTGGTAGAATTTTGCGGATGCCTCCAGATGAGGAAAGTGTTTAGCAGCACGATGAAGATGAGGACAGAGACCAGCACCAGACTCCATGCTTCCATACGGGACACAGCATCTAAGGCTTGAGTCAGGGTGACACACAGTGCAACCAAGCATGCAACTGCAGAAAAAGCAAAAATGAAAAGCGACAGTTTATGCAACGGCACAGCAAAGAAACTGATGGGCAAGAAAAGTTACTTAAAAAAAGGAAAAGCCACCGCTTACTCAGTAACGTTTGCCGTGCTTACCAGAGATTATAGTCAAGATTGTGACTCTTCTTGAGGTGGTTGAATTGGCAGTCGATGGAGGCTTTAGGAAGCTAAACTTGGTGTTCAATTCTGGGATCTGTGGGTCTTTCTCTTCAGATGAATCCCCTTGGTACCTTGATTGGGAAGTTGATAAAAAGGTATTTTCAGTTAAACAGGTTATTTTAGCAAGTGTGGCCGAAGAGACGTATGAAATTAATTTACCTCAGTATTAAGATGCAGATGGCTACGAGTGTGTAAGCAAACAAAGTGCCAATGGACATCATTTCCACCAAGGCTTCCAGGTCAAACAGCAGAGCCATGATGGCTGAAGATGACAGAGATTTAAACAGTGTTACTTAGGTCAGTAAACCTCACCCTGGGTACATAGAAGCTGATACACAGCTGGAGCATCTCTACCTGCCACTGTCCCAGACGATATGGTAGCTATGGCAGGGCTGCCCTTGGAAGTGACTTTGGTCAAGGGTTTGAAAAGCAGACCGTCTCTTGCCATGGCGAACAGGACCCGGGGCATCGGGAACATCGATCCCAGCAGGCTGGAGAGCCAAATGCAAATTAGTCAGTCAACAAACATTCAAACACTGTCAGTGAAAGGCCAGCATGACTTTGCAGGTTATTTCAAACAACATCTCATATGTGGAAAAAAAAAGTGACATTTCCTTTGTCTTGTGTCTTGATGTCATTTGAAGCCCCTTCTCTTGGTAATAGGACCCGGGTAGGCCCAGGGCCTCCTTAGTTTAGTATTACAAACTCCTTTAGAATTTTTGTATACCGACAGAGTACATGAGTTGTTGACATCTGAATTTAGAGTTCCTGTGAAGCGCCGGGGGAACAACCTTAAGGAAAGCATGGCGAAGAAAAGTGAAGCCTTTCCAGCCCATGCGTTCTTTTCTGTGAGGCCAGTCATATCTCATCACCCCACCTGTACTACCAGTAGTTTCTTACCTGGTGGACAGGGCACACAGCGATCCCACAGCCACAACGTATTTAGCAGGACCCCAACCGATGTAGTCAAAAGCCACTGGCAGGGGGCTCTTTTCACTGAGCAGGTAGTAAGGCATCATCAGGGTGAGTGCAGCAGACACAGCAAAGTAGGCCAGGAAACAGATAAGAAGTGAGGCCACAATGCCCAGAGGGAGGGACTTCTGAGGGTTCTTCACCTCCTCGCCTATGAAGAAAAGCAAAGATATCCGCAACATTTTTATCTGTTGGATAATGTCACGCAAATACGACAAAATAATATGTTATAATCAAACACTTAAGGGACTTAATTGCCGTTTGAGGAACACAATGCCATCTTGCACTTGCCAAGAGCTCATCGCACATCTCATGACCGTCATCGGGGAGTTTGTCAAGTTGTCACAAAGAAAGTTCAGTTGTTATCAAGCAAGTGGAATTCCATACTTGATAACCACTGAACTATCTCAGAGACAACTTAGCAAACTCCTTCCCCAGATGAAGGCCATGAGACACAGGTTAAAACAAAAATCCTCTAAATGTTTTCAGTGCTCCTATTTCTTTTTTAAATTCTTGTTAGGTATTGTGTTCAAAATGAAGACAGACAAAGCACATCGCAGATCGAAAAGTTAAAATCAGAAGTATTCAATAAAAGAAAGGGTGGTAAAAAGAACATCTCAGCTGAGGAGCCACTGGTCTCTGCAGCCAACGGGCCACAGGGCAGCTCATTGACCGTCCCCATAGTGCCCGTCTGTTGCCTTCACCAGCAAACTCGAGAACAATGGTCCCTACAGGTATTTATACTAATCCGTAAAGGTGTGAAATTTAATGTCCACACCTCTGCGAGTGGTCTTCTGGTGAGTTCAATGTAACTCTGACTGTGAATGTCTCAATACCAGTTGTTGTGCTAGCATTCCAGTTGATTACATTACATTACAGTAAATACAATCATAGCTGTACATTGATAATATTCTATTGATTACAGTTTCAAAATTACAGTGTTTTTACAATATTGTCATTGCTTTATTGATTACACCGTTTTAGAATCATGGCTGTATTCTGGTGTACACTAAATGCATTTTATTAATTTATGAACCGGTCGTCAGTTTATTTCTAATATCCTACAGTATCTTACCAGACAAAACGAACGTTGGCAGTAACACACCAAAACCACCTCAAAGTCTGGCCGTCTGTCATTCGTTTATTAGTCAGAGGATCTCATCTACAGGTATAAATCAAACTATATGTAATCACACTGCTAATGGGGAGACATTGTCACCTCACCTGTTGTAGCGATGCAGTCAAATCCAACGAAAGCGTAGAAACATGTTGCGGCGCCGGCCACCGTTCCACTGATGCCATAGGGGAAAAATCCCCCCTCTCCATACACACTTGTCACATTGACAGTAGAGCTCAAATTTCTGCAGGGTACAGGGAGCATTATTTTGTCTTCATTTACACTGAGGGAGCAACACCCTAAACACAGAAAGGCTTCTCTTGCTCTTTGACATTACTTGAATTCTGCTGTGGCGTTTATCAGACTCTCCTTGCTGATTTGCCAGTTGGAGATGTCCCCTTTGATAAATCCAGAGATGGCCACAAACACCAGCACCAGGATGTTGATTACTGTGAAAATCTTGTTGATTGTCGTTGACTCTTTCACTCCAAATGCGAGCACACCTTCATAGGAAAGACAGTTCCATCTTTTTTGAAGCCTATACCATACTGCCTTCACCATGGCAACAACGGTTGCATACTTTTACCTGACAGTAGCAAGACGAGAACCGCAGCAAAGACATCTGGGTAAGGGGCCAGGCCAGGGAGGCCCATGGCTGCATTTTCTTCAAAGAATTTTGATATGACGCCCCCTATGAGGTCATCAAATGTCCCACTCCATGCCAGCGCAACGCTGGATGTCCCTGAAGAAGATGCAATAAATGAATTAGCTCGAGTCAAGGTCACGAAAAGAAACTACTCATATGTTCTTTCTTCATGTTTCTTTCACATTTTATGGCCCTGTTATTTAACGCCACGTAGGTTAATGGCATGCAAGCAATAAATATATGTACAAGAGACTGTTTTTGTGAATACAAAAAACCACTCCTATTATAAAAGCTGTAACTGTTAAAAGAGCCATTAAGGATCATATTGTGGAGCAAGTGAAAGGTCAGCATTAAGGAGTCTTGTGTTAATGGTTGATCCTTTATAGGTTTCAGAGTTCTCAGTGAGCTAAACGTGTCACATCAGTGGAGAAATGTTTTTCAGAGGATGAAGATCCAAGAAATTTAGCCACTAAATGAATAGTAAGACAAACAATATATTGGGAAAAAAAATGTTTCTTATACATTGTTATCTGTAGGAAACTCATTCTGTGTAGTACACTCACCTATAACGTAGGAGAGTAACAGATTCCAGCCGGTGATAAAAGCCAGCAGCTCCCCGACGGTCACATAGCTGTAAAGGTACGCTGAGCCTGTTTTGGGAACCCGTGAGCCAAACTCTGCATAGCACAGCCCGGCGAATATGGAGGCCATGGCGGCGATGAAGAAAGAGATGATGATGCTGGGTCCAGCGGTGTCCCTGGCCACCTCTCCAGACAGGACGTAGACCCCTGCCCCCAGGGTGCTGCCCACACCGAGGGCCACCAGGTCCAGGGTGGTCAGGCATCGGTTAAACGTGGACTTCTCCCCCTCCGGCTCCAGGGGCTTCCTCTGAGACAGGCTCACCAGCAAGGACTTCACGCAGCTGCACGACATGCTTCTATGTGTCTGGATTGCGGATGGTAAAACAAGAGACAAGTGTGTGTGTGTGTGTGTGGGGGGTGGGGGGGTAGTATGATGTCGTGGAGTGGGAGTCAATGGAGGAAAGGGTGAGGGAAAAGGAGAGGAGTGGGGAAGAAAGGGCAGAGCAGTGAACCTGTCAGTGAAGAGTTGTCAGGTCAGCTCCATGGTAGAACATTTACTTGACATTCTGAAATTCTGCTGTTTGTGTAACACATTTATTAAGGCATCAATGGAGATCAATAACTCGTGGAAACTTCCATTTTGTTGAAGCTTAATCAGGATTACGTAATAACATGTAGTTAAATTGTATTACTAACAATATTTCACAGGATTTACAGTAAAGACAAAAGGAAAATGGATTCACTCACCTCTCCTGAATAATCCTTCACTTCACAGGGGCACCGGGAAAAGACAATTAACTGTATCCGTCATTCCTCTAAATCACAATATTCTTTTATGCATGCACTTCTTTATCACCCCCCACGATATGATACTGCCGATGTCAAGTGTTTTCATTGACGCCCACAGCAACGCCCTCCTTGTAAATTGCACTTTACTCAACCTTCAATTACCTACACATTTACTTCCTTGAACACTCCTGAGACCCATTTATAATGGGTCTTTGGTGATAAAAAATAGGTGTTTTTTAATTTGCAAATGGTCTGATATCACACGGGCAGTAGCATGTCAGAGATGGTAAATCCTCTCACACGGATGGAGTGTTTACATTACTTGTGTTGATGACATTTTTTCTTTTCCTGTTTTGAATGACTAAACCTGATGTACAGTTTTGTCATTTGTGCAACTCCAACAAAATGAAACAGGGACTACACTTGTTTTCTTTTGTTTCTATAACAAATCTAACTCATGATTGTAATGTGAGCTAGAGCAGTGGTTTTGATAGTCTTTTCGTGATTGTGCCTTTAGGATAATCCAAGACTACTGCACACATTCCTCCATGACTTTGTATTTCTTCCATCACAAACTGAGACCTGGCACCGATCCAAATGTATTGCAATAGGAAACAACACTTTATCTTTACAGCGTCTTTCCCAACTCAGTGTACAAGGTGCTTGAACTTTAAAAGTACACAGATCTGTTGCCTTTCACTACGTCACACCAAGCCACCTATGTTCTCAAAGTGCGTTTACCACGTGTGTGTTGCCTGGAAACAAGTATGTGACCTTATCACTGCAGCTTTTTGGAGGTTTCCTCTTCGCCTGCCTCCCCATATCTACCTGGACGTGCGAGCTTGAGCCAGACTAACGGTGCTGAGGGTTAAAGGCAACAGGGGGCGGACAAAGCAGCTTTCATGGCAGCCGGCTGCATACTTGCTCTGTGAAAGGTAGCTTTCGCCTTCTCATCTCCCCTCAAGCGCTTTCAGCTCACTTAATCACTGCAGGCATCTACTCTATCGGGCAAGAGGGCGGTTGACAAAGCAGCGGTGTGGATGGTCAAAGTACCTTTGGCTAAACTTGAATCTCAGGATTCCTATCTGCAGACCTTACACCATGAGATACCAACATTACCGGGGACAAGGGGGTATTGCTTAACTAAACCACACTCACGCACATGATGTACAGCTTTATGACTGTACAGTGAAGCTCAGTTGTGTTGTTTATTGCTGTTTACTATGCAAATAAAGTCTGCGTTACAGAGAAATATTGCAGTGCACCATTCAGATTGACAGTAATTAAAATAGAGGTCAGGGCATTTGAAATCGGACTGGCTTCTGGCAATTTTATTCAGTAGATACATAAATTGTTTACCTTGCCTTTAGTCCCACGAGGAATGACTGGTGACTGTGTGGTGAAAACAGCCAATGAAGCAAAGACCATCCGGGCTGTTGACTTGGATGGAGAAAACGTGATTTTTTACTGTGATATATACAAGACTGCCCTGTGTGACCCTCCCACTCAATGGAATTACTTACAAAGTAGCCTTTCTCACTTGCGAGTCGCGACCCGTTTGGTTCATAATGTGGTCATTATTGCCCGGAAGGCACGGGGTGAGAATTGTGAACAGCAAATCCCATTCAGAATGCCAAAAATGCTTTTGTGCTCACTTTGTTTGTTTGTTCTGCTTTCAGATTTTTTAATTTCATATTTTGTTTTAATCCATGAATTTGTGGTGGTGGATGATTGGATTTTTCACATGTGTCTCTGTTATTGTAAAAAAAAAAAATCAAAACACTCAGTTTGGAACACAAATATATGGTTTTTATACTTTATAGAGGAAAGTATTTTGTACCCGGGGGGATGTTACTGAGCCTAATTGTTTGTCTGTATGTATACTAGATCACATTTGGACTGTCTTTTACCGTGAGATAGGGTGAAGTCCTCATGCAATGCATTTCAAAAGCAGAAGAGGTCAGTATCTAACAATGCCATTTCATGTGTTGACCTCTGCAAACAGAAGGAGCTCCGAGACAACATGTGCTGATATGTGCAGTTAAGAAATTTAGAAAGTGTCCTTCGTGTTTATACAGTGTGCTGATATTGAGCGATAGCTGTGAAACACGAAGCCGATGATACCAGGTTTTGACTTCCAGTCAGTTGTGAACACACGTCTCTCGTCATCGCTCATGTCCCACAACTGCATTTAATATCAGTAAGAATGCACATGTTATGTCACTTTCAAATGACACATATGCTTGGGCTGTAAATAAGTTGGAAATCATTTTTGATGGCATTATGCTTGAAACGAGTTTCTATAGATGGAATTCCTTCCCAATGCTGCCCCCCCCCCCCCCTCCCCCCCCCTCTTACTGGAATAGATGCCTGACAGGACAGAAATAGACCAGGCAAGCGTCCACATCCGTGCCCGCGTATCAGTTTTAACAAGAGGGAAGCACTGTTTGTCTCTGTAACAGGTATTGACATCACACCCCCTCTCAAAATCCCTGAACCCTAGGTCATGTGACAAAGTTCAAATAACACAGAGTGAAAACGGCCTCTGTCCAAACTCAACATGAGGGTGTGCGCGCGACCGGCCCATTTTAATAGCTTTCATTGTTTCGTGTTTTGATACAGAAATGGAGGTGAAATGCAGATGGAACACTGTCTATAACTAACTGTTTGAGTTATGGCGGTGAGTTGCTGGTCTAACGCGCTCTATGGCACTGCTAAAAACACAGGCTCGCGCACAAAAACCCACGTGCGCGCGCACACACGCGCTTCACAAGAAGCTGCGCGTCGGAGCGCCGCAGTCGCTGCGTCAAGGAGGACACGTAACGGGACCGCTCAGTCTGACCGGAGGACACATCGAACACAACACAACCCTCCTCACTGCAGACTTCCTGCACACAGAAGGTGAGACGTGTTCACGATTATCTGTAAACCTTCTCGTTTTTAAATGTGCCAATGAACTAATTCTTGGATTAATTCATTCATTCTGTGGATTATTGGGTGTACAATTGATCTGGTTTATATATATTATAATGGTTGTTTCTGAATGACAAGAGTCTAAAGTTAGAAAAAAACATACATTTTAGTTAAGGTAAATAAAGTGTATATGGGGGACCGAGAAGGGTGTGGTTATGTCCCACTCCCCCCTCAAACGTCCATTCTCACATTAAACGGGTCCTGCTATTTTAGGAAAGCTTCACTTAGGGGTTGTAGGGTTAATCTCTCTTTTATGTGTAGAAATGTATTGCATTTTTAACTGTGATTATAAATGGAGAAATGTATTCAATTCAGGGAAAGTTAGCAGATAGATACTTTCTCTCCAGCAGCTGCCTCCATATACTTCAGTCAATGGCTGCATTATATGTTAGGGAATGGAAAATCTGACGTTCTCCTGCAATGTACGTTCTATCACCCAGCGTGTAATTTTAGGTGAATGTCTGAAGAAACCTGTTTCTTGTGCTGTAGATGGCGAGACGTTTTACCCAGTTCACTGAACAGACAGCCGCATTACAATGACTCAGGAAAAAGAAGAGATCATCATCATGCAAATGAACTCTTTGCGAGCTGATTGCCCCTCACATTGGAGCGAAATGACCTTATTAGGACAAGGATGCTTTGCAATGCTGTTCCTAACCCTACATCAGCGTTTTTCTCTCTCTGTAGGCCTGAGGTTATTGATTCCAGCGCAGACCAAATATAAAAATGGTAAGTGAGCAGAACCTTTCTCATTCGACATGATTTGGCTTATGTCTAAGTCACCTTGTGTCTATGGAGCACAGATGGTTTTGTTTGGCACTGAATGAGGAATGGACCGACTGAGGCCATTTTACTGCCTCCATGGGATCTTCCCCATCATAAAGGAAGCAGTGTAGGTGTTATTGACACCTACAGCACCACCGCATCTGAAAGAGCCCAATAGCTCTTAGTTATGCTAAAGTGCAGGTAGAAATTAAGCTCCTTATAGTAAATCCACATGAGGCCTTTTACCACATAAAGAGCCACAAATGAGACAAGGTTAGCTAAAGACCCGTTCCCGAAGGCTTGTATTTGTGGCCTGGTTGCTATGTGGGGGCGAAGCTCTCCAGCTGTCGTGAAGAGTGATGGTCACGGTAGTGAAACAGACGATCAGAGCATGTGCAGTGGCCCCTCGCGCAGGGCGGAGAAAATTCTTTGGCCGACTGCCTCAATGCAGCAGTAATCTCTATACGGCAGCTGCAAGTTTGAGCTTTGAATACGTAGGCCGAGCGTTCTGATTTCCCCCGGCCAATGAGCAAATGGCCTTACGACTTCACAGGTTCCCAAATGGTTGAGCAATCAGCACTGTGAGCATTTTGAATCAAACTATGAGTGAAGCCTGCAAAGGGAGCTACTTTGTGTGCAACCTGACACTCTCTACTGCCCCACTGTCCCACTCATACATGCACCGGCGACACACACAAACCACACACACACACACACACACACATAAACACTCAGACAGACAGGTTTTCCTCTGCTCCATCTCAGCCGGGGGTGAGACAGGTGCAGCAGGCCTCCCGTCCCAGTGTCCCGTCACTGCCCCTTTAACACAGTCCACTCCCTCCACCCCGCAAGGAAGTTACGGTTAGACACAACATTGAGTGTTGACCGCCTGTCCTTTAGTTGGGCGGGTTGACATCAAACCACTTTCTCAACTCCATAGTTGAGCTGAGCAGAGCAGTAAATGTTAAACGTTAACACGATCTGGATAGTTTCTCTGTGAGCCTGCACACACAGCGAGGGCTGTTGATGTCATCATGCTGACATGGTCACAATGCAAACATGCTGATGTTTAGCAGGTTGAGTCTTGAAGTTTGCTTATTAGCACTAAACCCAAAGGACAGCTGGGGCTGACGGGGAGGTCACATTTTCCTGTCAAGTATTTGACAGTTGGACATTTGACCCGAGGACAGCAGCACCGGAGATAAAAAAGGGGATCACAAAAGTCTCAAGACTTCACCCTCTGTATGTAAGTTACATTTCCTGGCAGTCCATAGAACATAGAACAATTATAATTCCTAGAAAGAAAATTCCAGATATAGTTTATCTATGACCATTTTTTTATGTGTATCTGTAGGAATACATTTGCATTTCCACACATCCTAGATGGCATAACATGACAATTTACCACTAATCCAGTTGGACGCTTTTTCGCACAGGGGTTCAGAGGCACAATAACAGATGCTGCGGACTTTGATCCCACCGCTGATGCCGAGACCCTTTTCAATGCGATGAAAGGCTTCGGTGAGTTCCTCACTCCACCTGTATTTAGCCGTGGAGGGTATAAGGTCCTCTTTAATCTTATCAACTTCTATTTAACAGAGCAATCGTTGCAGTCGCATCAGTTTCTGTGAGTGAGACGGACTTTGTTGAAGCGGTTGCTTTGTGTTCCTCAGGCAGTGATAAAGATGCCATATTGGACTTAGTCACATCAAGGAGCAATAGACAGCGGCAGGAAGTCATTGCAGCGTACAAATGCAGCTTTGGAAAGGTACAACGAATCATATCCTCATCGCATCTTGTTTTTTCGTTGGCTGAAATAGAAATTTTAGCAATTTTAAACACATTCAGACAGTAGAGAGGACTTGTCTTTATCGTAGGACCTGATTGAGGATCTGAAATATGAGCTGACGGGCAAGTTTGAGCGTCTCATCGTCAGTCTGATGAGAACCCCGGCCTACCATGACGCCAAAGAAATCCACGATGCAGTCAAAGTAAGACATTTACTTCACAGTGAGACTCTTTATAGTACTCCAGTTACATTGAACAAAGCAGAAGCTCCTTCAGTATTAACTTTAGGCTCTTTTCCTAGGGAGTTGGAACAAGCGAGAGATGCCTCATTGAAATCTTGGCATCCAGAAACAACAGACAGATGAATGAGATGGTTGCAGCTTACAAGGACGGTAAGGCTTCTTAAATGAGATGTCATTTTAAATCAACATTTTCTCTACATTTGACGTGGATATCCGTGTACCCAGCCTATGGCAGAGACATGGAAGAGGACATAATCGCGGACACATCGGGGCACTTTAAGAAGATGCTGGTTGTTTTACTTCAGGTGAGTTCACTGAGGAGTGGATGCAATGACCAGAGAAGCATCCAGTCAACCACACAGGGACTGTCTAAGCCACAGCTCACTGCTTGCTCACTGCTTGTTTGGGTTTGTTCCAGGGGACCAGAGATGAGTCAGGAGTGGTGGACGCAGATCTGGTGCAGCAGGATGCACAAGTGAGAAACACTTAATGAGTAGTAGAGAATTCAGCATGCTTGGGATTATTGTCTCTTTATGTCTTTCATTGAAAAACTAATTAGATTTGTTGTATGTATATTTTTTTTACTTGAGTGGTAAATAACTGTGGTATTTTAGATGCCTCATTATAAGGTGTTGTCACTATTTACTAAAATATTGTGCCTGGTAGTCAAGGCATTGTTGAAGCAAATATATTGACAATACAAGGTCTTGGCAATGTCCTATGTAGAGGAGCTTCCAGGCTTTCTCACATAACCAACGTCAGATATTCATTTTCAATCATTCTTCTTTCAAGGTGCAATGATATAATTTGGATCTCTGAAACGTGTATTGTTTTTTTGGTTTCACATTAAATCGGCTCATCCTGTGTGTCCTTACCTCTTTGCAGGATCTATACGCAGCCGGAGAAGAGCAGTGGGGGACCGACGAGGCCAAATTCATCATGATCCTGGGAAACCGCAGCGTGACCCACCTCTGCATGGGTGAGCACAGCAGTGAGGCCTCCAGACTTTCCCACTGTGACCTGAGTCTCGGCGGCTATTGGCGCCTTAGAACTCATCATTCCAGTTAACGCTCCTCTACGACTGTGCCTTCTGTGTCTAATGTCACGAAAACGGTCTGAGGCCTGATGTTCCCCGTAAAACGCCTCTGTGAGCACAATATAGAATGCATTTCACTGTGTCGTCTTCTGGTTGTTCAGTTTTTGATGCGTTCGAGAAGGTCGCCGAGATGTCCATAGAGGACACCATCAAGCGTGAGTTGTCTGGGGACTTTGAGAGGCTGATGCTGGCTGTTGGTAAGAAACACGCTACGCTACCGCGTGTTAAAGCAACGCGTGGGATGTCGAGGGGTCAGTCTAACACAAGGCCGTCTTCTTGGCTTCTCTTCACAGTCCAGTGCATAAGGAGTGTTCCCATGTTCTTTGCCAAGCGGCTTTACAAAGCAATGAAGGTAAAATGACTAGAAAACACATTCCTAGCAGTAGTATTTTGATAAGATTTTTAAAATAAATTAGGCCTACAATAATTCAGAAATAGTTGCCTGGTTGACTCGTCCTCTCCTTCATTTCCAGGGTCTCGGTACAGCCGACAACACCCTGATCAGGATCATGATTTGTCGTTCTGAAATAGACATTTTGGACATCCGAGAGTGTTTCCGCCTATTATATGAGAAGTCCCTTTTTAACATGATTACGGTTGGTCATGTTTTTTTTAATGAAAATAGATTGAAATAGCATTGTTTAGTTTCTTACTGTTCTCATGTCACCTACCTGCCTTGTTTGGATTGTTGCTGCTTTTACGGTTTTTGTTTCTACCACGTGTAGTGCCTTTCAGTACCTTTTAAAGTGCTACACAAAATACATCTATCATTAGGATTATCAGAAGATCATACACCTGTAACCGGATTTTTTGTATGTTCAAACCTGCCAGGACGACACATCAGGGGATTACAAGAGGACCCTGCTTAATCTATGTGGAGGAGATGATGAGTAAGTTAAAGTGTATAACCACAGGGGGGTGATAGAGCACCACTTTTCGGGAGTTGTTTTCTGAGGGCAGTTAAAAAACTGTCTGTTGAGTTATGAGAGAAGAAGGATCAATGCCTCAGGGACGAGAACTACCTGGTGAAGTTGAAATCCAAAGATTGAAGTAAAGAAAAGCAGCAGAGTGTCTAGTATCAGACTCCCGTCTGCAGTGAATAACTCACTCTGCACCACCTGAAGTTTGGGCTTTGCTCACCGCGCTGTCTTGTGTCAAACTGATTTTTACAGCATAGCGGGAGAGTTCTTCCCTGAAGCTGCTCAGATAGCCTACAAGATGTGGGAAATGAGCGCCATGACCAAAGTGCAGGTTTGGACCCCTGTTTGCTCCCCCATTAGATGTGTCATTGCATGTTTGGCTTGGCAGTGGCATGCATCCTAATTACCTGCTCGCCCTGCAATGACCCTGCGTCTTGCGGTCCCACCAACTTGGTACTGATAACACTGGCACGTGTACAGAACGAGAGCTTTGTGTAACCGCGGATAGGACCAGAATACTGTGCTCTCAAAAACAATTGCTTTTTTTTGTAATGCGCTCTCAAAGCTGCCGTTTTGCCTCGCTGGGTCCTGAATGTCAAGGATATCTCAGCATTTTGTCAACAAAAACTTGTCTCTCTAACGCTTTGTGAAGCTCAGTTGTACTTTAGCCTTCCCACTTTTCCCGTGGTGGCTTCTAACCCTGAGAGGGCGAAGTCCCCCCTCGAAAAGCTTTCCTCCTTCTGCATGTTTAGAACTTCATTTTAACATATCTGATGCATTTTAATTACGAAATAATTTATCATATATTTTGTCCAGTCCACATTGTCTGTGTATGTAATTATTGAATCTCACACTCGATCATGTCCTCCCACAAACCTTAGCTTAGGCCAACAGTCCGCCCTGCATCCAGTTTCGACCCAGCTGCTGATGCTCAAGCGCTTAGGAAGGCCATGAAGGGATTTGGTATGCAGCCCGGAAAAGCACATTTACACCATTACAATCTTACAAAACACCTTATGATACTAACTGCCCTGCTGCTGCTGACAGGGACGGACGAAGATGCAATCATTGACATTGTTGCGCAGAGAAGCAATGCTCAGAGGCAAGAGATCAGACGGACCTTCAAATCCCTTCTGGGACGGGTGAGTGAAATTAATCATTGCGAATCAATTCCTGGACCAAAAGAAATGATGTCTCGTGCTGGAACATGTGTCTCACCTCGTCGTGATCTACCAGTAGATGTGTTTAACATGCCAGGCACAACATCTAGCATTCGCTGCAAGCTGTTTCCTGTAACTCAGTGTGTTTGATGTGTCTTCAGGATCTGATGAAGGACCTGAAGTCTGAGCTTTCAAAGAACTTAGAGAGGCTGATCATTGGGCTCATGTTGACCCCTGCAGAGTTTGATGCCAAAATGATGAGGAAGGCGATAGAGGTACAGTAGATCCAAATCACCTAAAGATTTTTCTTTGACGACATGGTTAGTTTACAGTACATGTGCAGTAAAGAAAGGACTCATTAGTGCAGCTCTTTATAAATGTTCAGTGTGTGCTTTGTTGATTTGGAGCCCCGTGAGCTTCAGCTGGTGTTTAAATGTCATGAAAGTTACATAGAACGTTTTTGAAAGTCAAATATCTTTGCATGAATTTCCCTGTGTCAAAGCCTGACTAAGTTTTCACTCTGAACATATAGGAATTTAAATGTATGTATTGTTTACATTTATATGCAGGGCATTTTAATATTTAGCTTATTTGAAGGCATACGGTCACTTTGCTGCACTTATGTCTTGAATAGTCACGCACATTTGTCCAATGTGCTATTTAAGCTTAATAGAGTTCAGCCAATCATAGTATGATATTCCATCACACACTTCCTGGCTTAATCATATATGTGATGATCAATACAGATCATTATGAGGAGGGTCTCTGATAAAATATATATGAAAATAATATATAAGACGCAAACAAGGATTACGAACCCTAACCCAAACCCACTTTCGTCAGTAAACATGAGGAGTTCACTCTTCCTAGCTGTGTGCTGTGTTCATGTTCATGTGTTGTTATTGCCGTTATTTGTGAAAACTCAAAGTTTCTTTAACAGGGGGCTGGGACAGATGAACACGCTCTGATTGAGATCCTGGTCACCAGGAGCAATGAGGAAATACTTGCCATGAATGCTGCTTATCAACATGGTGAGTTTGATTCCCTAAAAGATTTCTTTAAATCACTTACTTGGTCTGGAAACGTTTCAAAATAAACCCTTTCACCTCACAGCCTATAAGAAGTCTTTGGAGGAAGCCATTAATTCAGACACATCAGGCCACTTCTGCCGCATCCTCGTCTCTCTGGTGCAGGTAATCACCATCCTCATCATGAGAACTTAGACTGTGTTTTGCTTCCACACCCACTCAGTGGTTGCAGTCTGTCAGTCTGTAGCAGAAAACAGAAATAGCGTTTAACCGCCTTTACTCTCTTCAGGGTGCAAGAGAAGACGGGCCTGCAGATGAGGAAAGAGCTATTGGAGATTCTCAGGTGCCTCAGTGCTCACTGTAACACTTCAGTGTCTATGTGACAAAAGAAGGCGTTTAAATATATGTTTCTCTTAAACTTATCAGGAACTTGCTGATGCATGCAATGCCGAGTCTGATGACATGGTGATGAAGTTCATGAGTATTCTGTGCACCAGAAGCTTCCCCCACCTCAGGAAAGGTCACAAACTCTCAGTGATCAAGTAATTGCAAAATCTAGATGATATGACCTTGACTAATGTAATCAATATTTACTATTTACAGTATTCCAGGAGTTTGTCAGATACTCCAACAAGGACATTGAGCAGATTATCAAGAAAGAGATGTCTGGTGATGTCAAGAATGCATTTTATGCAATAGGTAATAACTCTTGTAGAGTGTAAAGTGTATACTGCTGACATGATATACAGTCCTCCTCAGAGTTTTCTTTCTCTCTCTTTTCTTTAGTCCGCAGTGTGAAGAACCAGCCCTCTTATTTTGCTGATCGTCTTTACAAAGCCATGAAGGTACAGTGTCATAACGCTTTAAAGGTCTCGGATGCCATATAGCTATACGGTCATATTTGTTGATGCCTGCAGTGTATTTGCGGTTTTGTCTTCTTTCTTGGTATCAATGGTGCTAAATGGTCCCACAGTATCAGTGACTGTAACCTAATGAGAATTAACAAAGCATCTATTGATCTTGGATGCAGGGCCTTGGTACGGACGACAGGGCGCTGATCCGCATCATGGTGTCCCGAAGCGAGGCTGACCTTTTCAACATTCGTAAAGAGTTCAAGGAAACACATGATGTCTCCCTCCATGAATTCATCAAGGTAGAAACTATGATCGTAAGTCGGAGTCTTTGTCAACTAATACTCTTGTTTGGTTGGTTGTCTTCTCATCACATGTGTCTCTCTGGACGATTTGTCTATTCTCCTTGTTCCCCACTTTGTCAGTGTATGTGTTGCACGTCGTTCTGCTGCTGTGGATGGGTGGGGGATGGGGTGTGTGTGCGTGTGTGTGTGTGTGCGTCTGTTTGGGGGTGGGGTTAAGGAATTTCCCTTGCATGCTTTTTAACTTCCTCTCCATATCCGCTGTTTGATTGGCTGGAAGCCGCCGATACAGGAACTACCCAGAAACTGTTCTATAATAATTTACAGATTACATCACCGCGACACCAATACAAACACAGCGAGTATGGATGCCCTGGATAAACTTGGCCAGAAATATTATCAAATCAACAGCGAAAGTTGCTACGATTACATTCTTTGCACAAAATGTCTGTACAGTAAAACCACCTACTTGAACTAAATCTACCAGCTCCGGCTTTAGTTCTGGTAGTTGGAAAATGTCGATCTCCTCATCTAACTCCTAGAAATCAAATGGAATCGGGTCCTTAAAAATATATCCAGACTTAACAATTGTGACGAAGATTATAAATTATAATAACAAGTGGGTAATTTCACCATGAGCTGATCTTTTGACTCGTGAGTTCTGCTTGTCCTCGTGGCTCACATTCATTCAACATTAGTAAGAGGTCAACATTGTTTTGCTGTTGTGTGAGTTCAAAGAATGAGCCCCGCTTACCAGTTTCTGCTCTGTGATGACAAAATGTCAGCAGACAGAAACAGTGTTTCCCATTAATTCCAGTTCCATCTGTGTGTGTGTTCTCCATCTTTCTCCAGGGTGATACCTCAGGAGACTACCGGAAAACCCTGCTGCTGCTCTGTGGAGGGGAAGATTAAGCTGGACTCGTCTCTGCAGCTCCATCCTACAGAGTTTAATGAAAACCCAAGAGACAAGCCTATTCACTGTGGTGGTTGACGTCAAAATCCGTCAGTGGCCCTCAACTGCTGCCTCTGCTAAGGCAAACCAAGTGACCTATGACCTGTGGCCCTGTCTGTCGGAATGACATCTTTCTTTTTTTTTCTACAGCTCATATGTAACGTGAATATGTTCAGGTCGCTTTAGAAAAGTGCTTCACATGTACAATATATTGGAAATGAGTGGAATAGTGCCTTCAGATTGCTGGCCGCCCAATGATTACTGTGATTTTAAGGTGTCGTGTAAAATAAAATAATTAAAAGCACAACCAAATCTATTTTCTTCTTCTTAGAAAAACATTCATTTGAAATGTAAATCCTGCCATATCACATTCTCCCTCCCGGTGCTTTTATTTCTGTTTTGTTATGGTGTGGTGTCCTGGTTTGCATTTGTCAGGCAGTTCAATGATTAACTGTGTTGTTACTGGCTATTGCAATAGGCTGAGCAGAATGAGTATGAGAATGAGAACTAGAATATTAATCATCAGGAAACGGCAATTCAATGTCTCTTCTGCTTAATAAAAGCAAACCCCCAAGCTATTGTTGTTCATAAAAGACAACGTGTAAATAAAGGGTAGTTATTATTGTCTGGCAGCTTATATTCTATTCTATTCTAAAAGTAGACACCCCTACACATTTTAAAATGAGCAAGGGGAAAACATTTATTTGGTCTTTGTAGATGCAGTAAAGTTAAGTACAAGACAGCTTTTTCTCTTGGCGTCAATGTCTCGGTTCATATGTGTGAGCGCAGCTGTTGTCAGGCCATCTTTGAGTTAAAAGAGGAAAGAAGAAAAAAGATCTATGTAGCGAGGAAATCCCCTGCAGTTCGCCAAATCCAAGGCAACAAATAGACTCTGCAGCAGTCAGTAAGCCACTCTCTCTCTTTGAATGGCACAAGCAACATGAAATTGCTCCATTTGATGATAATTCTAAGAGATTAAGAAATTAACTGAACAGAAACATTGTTAAAATGCATCCAATGTCCAAACATACCATTTTGAAATGATCTTTTGACAACTTGGGAAAGTTTGTGCTGTTCGCATAAAATAGACTGAAGTTCACGTATTTCAAAGCGGTGGCCTCCTCAGAGAGAACTCTGGGTGTTGCGTCAGACTTTGACTTTTATTATCTGCAGTCTCTGTAATTAGAGTGGTATCACAATGTGGCCATGAAAACAAGCCACTTACCGAGCTGCATTTATTGTACTGTGTGAACGAGTCGGTGTACTTTAGAGGTCCTCGGAACACGTTTCTCGAATGCTGCTCTCTACATGTCACATTTCTGTACCCTCCTCTGTTTACCGAGCTTTGTTGAGATGCATTAATGTGCACAGCGCTGTGTGCATGCTGCAATCTGCTGTGCAGGATCAACTAAATGCATTCAGTCTTTTTCATGTCGTGGTGTTACTCAGTTTAGGCAGGCAAAGTTGGACAAACACCAGGTTGTATTCAAGCTCAGCGTACAGTATCAGGCCATTTTATGGGAATTCCCCAACCCTCACATTGATTGCTCCCCCCCTCGTTCACCAGTTTCCTTAAAAAGTGCCTCACTCCGACACAAGCTGAATGTGTGGGTGAGTTGTTTATTTGTTTTTCCCATTTGAGGTGTATAGAAAAAGAGCATATTAGATACACTATCAGTATTTTGTGGCATTATCTTGTCTAGTTTTAAGATTTTATTCAGGGCCGGTTGAATAACTTGTCACTGAAAAAGGCGTTGTTGTTCTGTGTTTTGAACATGACATGAGAGGCAAATGTATCTAAATGTAAGATTAATATCGGAACTTTGAACCAGATAGAAAAGCTGAGAACTCTTTCATTTTTTGCCATATGGGGTATTTGCCTGCTAAAAGAAATACTTTGTTGGTAGATATTTATTTTAAGACAAATATTGAGGTCAAACACATTTTTAAACAACAATACCTTTGTGTATGTACTTAACCGCGGGTGTCTTGGTTATAGTTTCAATTTTGAATTAAACTAGACACAAAGAGCCTGTTGGAGTTGAAGCCTATTTGGTCCCAGTGCACGTACTCCACTTTTATTTTGCATATTGATAGAGACTTGAGCTAAAATGCCCCTGTGTTGAGGCCTCGAGATGACTAGTCGTCTTACAGAAGCACATTTTTTATTAAGCACCACAGAAATAATGACTATCAGCTGCCGTTTTCTGCTGTTGGAGATGGGGAACTGGACTGTCCTTGCGTCTCAGTAGGGTGGGGTGCATGCTGTGTACTTGTTACAATAGGCTTCAATGTGATTTTTACCCTTTTCTACATGTAATCTGCTAACTCTTCTTTTATTTGTGCAATGAGGAAAAATGCTTTAAAATACTTTTTTTACAAAGTAGGTGGGAGTATAAAACAAAGTGCAGATTTTGTTACCCACTGTTGGCATTTCCTTTGTCCTCTGGCTTTTGTTTTTGTGCACCGCCCTTTATTAATTTGGCACCTATTAACAAGGTCAAAGTGTTCGGTGGCACACAGTTTGAGCTATTTGTTTTCTCTTTCTGTTTGTTCTCTTAAGCCAGCTGACAGATTTGTCTTGGAACACAGTGACACTTTTAAACAGGGTTTTCTGGTCAGGGCTGGCCCACATACCATGTAGTTTAAAATAATAGTATGTGTTGTTTTGTTATTGGTGTTGTTTTGATTGAAGTGACACTGCAATTTAATCTAAAAAAGTTTACTGCTGCATTATGAGGTACCATTTCATTATTATTAAAATATTGTTAAACGGCTTTCTCTATTATAGCATAATGCCATAACTTTTTTGTCTTGAAAATAAATAGAAAAAATAGGGTTTGAATAGTGCAACACAATTAGGAAACTAGATGTTTCCTGTGTGCACAACACAGGACCTCCCAGGCTGATCCTCTAACATCTAAAGTTGTCCTCATTATCTGTGTGGTCATGCAGCAGTACGTTTTACTTGTGAGTCATAGGCTTTTTGGTAATTAATTCAATTCATTCTTAGTCTTAGAAACCAACAATATTTGGTTGCGATGAAAGTACCATTGCATGAATCAGTCTTATTATGAATGGTCATAAAATGGAATGGATCAGAAGAAGTTTGTGCTTCCAGTTAACCAAAGAATGATCTTTTCAACTACATATAGCAGATTACCCGTTTGTTAACTCCCACAAGATGTCACTATTGCTCTAAATAGTTCATTTTTGGTCAGTCGAGCCTTAAATAAAGTTCAAAGAGCTGTGGCACAGTGATCCTCAACAAACCTCTCTTAACATAAGACTAACATTTAAAATATACAGTACGAGTCAAACATTTGGACACACTTTCTAATTTAATTGAATGAGACAATGTGACATGACATTTAAACTTCCAAACACAGTCAGAGCCTAAAGAAGCCCTTTATGAATTGATTTGTTGCTTGACTGACAACTAAACAACAACTATTTTTATAATGGACTTATTGATGGACTGACTATTTATCTAATATAAATACTAAATGTATTGCTTGTGCATTACTTCCATAAACCTACTGTGCTTAGGTATTTGGAGCATCCGTTGTTTTAAGGTCAAATTGAGCTATTTGGCCATTTTTCAAATACTTTTTTAATATTGTATTTAATATCCTAACAATTATCCTTAATTGATTGATGGAGAAAAATAATAGCAAAAAAATGTGTTTTTCTTTTTATTGCATTATCATATTAAAGATCTCACAGCAAAATATAAGTTGCCACATATTTCTTGTTAATCTATAGTATGAACGTAAAGGGTTCAGTGTAACTTGCCTTATTGCTTCCTAATTCAGCGGAAGTGTCTGATGCAATAACAGAAACTCCCACCAACCCCTTCTCTAAATTTATCAATGGAGGAAAAAGTAATTCTTTGAAAAAGGTGGGTTTGTCCCTGGACTACAAAGTGTGAGTTACAGTAGGTAAAAAGCAGAAATATTAAGCAGTTTAATTCACATCATTAAGACATTAAATAAATTGGCAAGTTTTACTCAGCAGTCATCGTGTCAAATGAGCCGTTTTTGTTATATATTATAATTCATGAACATATTAAAAAGTCCACTAGGATTCATTCTTGTAAAATTCATATAAAAATGTAAAGCATTTTCCTTGTGTTTACATCACGGCCAAGTGACTCCTGTTGGTGTCCCGCTAACAGAGTGCTGCACGCGGATTGGTCCGCCGGGCTGTCAATCAATCGTTGTTTACATCAAACGAGGTGGAAATTCCCGGGTTACAGCACAGACCAGTAGACCACTTCCGCAATAGATGTCTGGGCTAGGGAGACGAGAGGCCACTGCGAACTGAAAGGTATCCAGACAAAAGACACCTCTTTGTTCTTTTGTTTGTCGCTTAAGAACGCTTTTCGTCTGACTTACGGCATCCATGAAAGTATTTCTAATGTGTAAAAAGAGAGGAGCTCGTGGCTTCCTGTCCCGCACTGTCATTTAGTGTTAGCTAGCCGTGAGCTAACGAGGATGTTGCTAACAATTTGCATGACAACAGCGAAAACTAATATTAGCCTTCTTCAGCCAATCAAGGTAGCTATCGTTTGCTGGATTGTGCTGAATTTGACACATGACTATAGATTAGATGTTTGTTTGCAGGATTCACCGAACACACGTCAGATGTGTGCTCTGCGTTTGTCCCTTTTCCCCTTTGGATATGAACGATGTAACGCTAGTTGTCATATTTAGCCTCAAACGTTAGCATATTCTTGCCATACGTTTCCCTGTGGTAGAACTATGGTGATAATGGAATTGCTGTCTCTTCAAAGCTGTCCGCTGAACCTCATTTCCTTCTCTGTTCCTCACCGATAGAGAGCACTTTGCTCTGCCATGAATGATAAAGTGAGGAAAGCGGTGTTTGTAGTAGCTCAAAGTACAAATCTGCACACCACGACCGAGTGAATGGTATGGATTTAATCTGCGATCAAGAAGTAACCCAAACACCCCTTTGTTTAATTTATTATTGTTTGTCATATTTCTTACTGGTTCAAGGTTATTTCTAGTGTATGACAGTGGGAACCAAGAAGTACATTTAGTCACACTACCAACCATTTAGTCAGTGCTTCTGCTCAACTATCCTCTCCACAAACGGTCTGGTGTCGACATTTGACGTTGGTTGCTCTCATGCTGTTTCTAAAAGCCGTTGCATATGATTACCACACATTTAAACCTGGGGATCAAGTGTGCCTGTTGTGCCACTGTTCAAATTTGCTTCCTCTCATTACAAAGGGTGGAGGAACATAAATACTCAGTTCAGCAGCTTTGTTTGCTGTAAAGTAAA